GAATTCTGGAAGCAAAACATACCATTTTCAGGGGAAAGAAAGAGCCTGACTTCAAACTTCTGCAGAATAGAAGTGAAGCAATAGCTCAAATGCTGAGAGGAAGAAATTGAGATTCAAGAATATATACTAGAAAAGTTTAAGAATAAAATCCACAGGCATATATCTTAGACATGACAATTACCGAGCATCTAAAACTTTCTTAAAGAATTTGTAGGTGATAGAATCTAGCCAAATACAGGAAGCCTTGATAAAAAGGATTTGTAGTTATAAACCATTTAAATAAAAACTCCACATGAAAAAACTAGATGAAATTACGATTCTGTAAACAATGCAAATATAAATTCTTTTTTTTTTTTTTTCCTGTGAGACTGGGGTTTGAACTCAGGGGTTTAGTCTTTTAGAGATTGCTCTACTGTGTGAGCCACAGCTCCAATCTGTTTCGCTTTGGTTATTTTGGAGGTGCTGGCTTTGACCTCCTGAGCTCAGCCTTTCAAGTAGCTAGAATTGTAGGTGTGAGCCACCAACACCTGGCTGCAAATATTAAATCTTAACAAAGTAGAAATAATGTAGATATCAAAGACCTAGAGTAAAGTACATTGAAAGTTTTAGAGGTATGCATTTGAAAAGTATGCACATAGTTGCATACTTTTTCTAAAATGAATACTGGCTTAAAATAACCACAAAACTCCATCTTCTTAATGGCTTCTCATAACTTTCCCCTTCCCCTTTAGAAGAATCTTTATAGGAACTGATTTCTTGTGTGGTAAGAATATTTATATGGAATACAAAGAATTATTATTTAGTTATTTCCTCTTGTATCTGTCTAAAAATAAAGCAAAATACTCATGCAAAAAAATTTTTTTTTTTGTGATACTGGATTTGAACTCTGGCCTCACGCTGCTAGGCAGGTGTTCTACCACTCAATCAGTGCGCCAGCCCTTTTTGTGTTGGGTATTTTGAGATAAGTCTCAAGAACTATTTGCTTAAGTCAGCCCTGAAACTGAGATCTTCTGGTCTCTGCCTCTGAAATAGCTAGGATTCCAGGTGGAGCTGCTGTTATGATGCTTTTTGTTTGCCTTACCTTTCATCTATCATATTTAAAAATAAAATAATGTCTGAAATGATGCCTTATTTTATAATCATTTTAGTATGTGGGATTTGGGGTGACTGCTTCTAATGCTTTATGTATACTGAATATTTTTTAAAATTGTATATAATTTATAAAATATAGTTCTCTTATAAAAATAAGTCTTTTTGGGGGGGACTAGAATTCGAACTCAGGTCTTTGTACTTCAGTCTACCACTTGAGCCACACCTCTAGTCCATCTTGCTCCAGTTAATTTGGAGATGGAGTCTCAAGAACTATTTCCCCCAGGCTGGCCTCAAACTGCAGTCCTGTTGATATCAGCCTTCCAAGTAGCTAGGACTACAGCATGTGTATCAATCCATCATTTTTTCTATTCCACTAACAAAATTAGTTCATGTAGCTACTTGAGTATTGGATATTTAAATAAAAAGATGCAAGAACAGATGAGGGTAGTTTTAGACATTATAAAATATATACTGAAATTCAGATAATTGGTCTCTCCTTGAGTAACAAAAGAAGACACCAAATCATTTTTTGAAATATTTTAAGTGAAATACATTTTATTTTTAAAGAGTACCCTTCCTTAGTTTTCAGTGAATAAGACTGATGCGATTGTGAGATGGGTGTGTTATGCATGCGTGTGTGTTGCTTGGGATAAAACCCAGGGCCTTGGGAATGCTAGGCAGCACTTTACCACTGACCTATAGCCCTTGTTTTCACTTTTGACTATTATAAATGTTATTTTGAACCTTTGTATACAGCATTGTGTAAACTATATTTTTATGTAAATTGTGTATTTTCCTTTCTCTTGGTAATATATGTAGGAGAATAGACTTGGTGAGTCCACTGGTCACTCTACAGTTTAACTGTTTGAGAAATGATCAGTGTATTTCCACAAGTGGCTTTCCATTCTACTAGTGTTAGTTTTTAAAAAATTAACTTCAAATTTTGTGCTTTGTTCCTCTGGGGCTCCCGATACAAGATTGTATTTTTTATTAGATTTTAATAGTTCATTTAATTTTTTTTTTTGAAATTTTAAACATTGTTATGTTATATTTTAGTTGGTGCTTGAGTAGTTCTTCTTAAAAGATTGGCAGGTTGAAATGGGAAGTGGTTTCATTTCTTGCTAAAAAGAGAGGTTACTTACTCAGTGTTTTTTCTTTTTTTTTTTTTTTTGTGGTACTGGGGTTTGAACTCAGGGCTGACACTTGCTAGGCAGGCGCTCTGTCACCCACAGTGTTTTTCTTAATTATCTTTGACCCTGGTTCCCTTAAGTTCTTCTCAGATACTAGATATTCTTTACCTTCTGTTCTGATAACTCTCACAGGCAGAGTTGTTTTAAATAAAATGTAATAATTGCAAGTTACCGAACAAGGGTTTCTGGTTAAAGGGGCAACTGAGGGTTAAAATCCAGCTCAGGAACTACTTGCTAGGCCCTTTACAACAGAAGGATCACACTGGCTGATAGAAAGGGGAAATTCTGAATTTTTGCACAAAATTATTATAACTTTGTGTATGGTTTGTTGACTGGCTTGGCGTTTAACCTCATGCCAAATGCTAGTTTTTTGATAGATTACCTCTGACTGCACAGTAGAGGATGAATCTCTTGATTACTGTGGCTTTATAATAAGGTTTGAAATTGTGAAGAATAAGTTCTCCAATCTTATTTTTTTTTCCTAAGGTTGTTTTGACTGGAGTCTCTTGAAATTCCATACAGTTTTTATGATAGGCTTTCCTGTTTCTGTGAAAATCACCAGTGGGATGTTGATGAAGTCATTTGAGTTTTTACATGGCTTTGCCATCTTAGTAGCATTAGATCTCCTAGTACATGAGCATTAGCTACCTTGTGTTTTCAAAGTCTTTTATTTCTTCCGTCAGTGTATTTAAAATCTAAGCCTCTGTGGTGGAATGTATTCTTTGCTATTTTATTCTTTCTGGTGGCATTGTATGTAGAATTGTTTTTTTATTTTGTTTTTGGATTATTCAATGTTAGTGTATAGAATACAACTAAATTTCGTGTTGATTTTGTGTTCTGTAAATTGGCTGTATCTGTTTATTAACCCTAACAGTTTTATGTAGTTTCTTCAGGGTTTTCTATATATAAGTTCATGTCATCTGTGTTAGGTTTCTGTTTCTATGGCAAAATATTTGAGATAATGAACTTAAGAAGAGGAAAAATTTATTTTGGCTCATAGTTTCAGAGGTTTGCCTCTGAATGTTTTTGGGCCTGGAGTTAAGCAGAATATCATGGCAGGGAGCATGTGGTAGAACAAAGCTGCTTACCTCATGGTAGCCAGGAAGGGTTCAGGATCCAATATCCCCTTTCAGGGCATGCCCCCATTGACCTTTCCATTAGTCCCCAACTCTTGAGGGTTCCACCATCTTCCAGTAGTGACACGGGCTGGGGACCAAGCATTTAGCATAGCAGCCTTGGGAGGGGGGCACCCCAGATCCAAACTATAGCACTAACTGTGAATAGAAATACTTTTCCTTTCTAGTTTGGATACCATTTATTTCTTTTTCTTATCTAATGCTACGACAGGAAAGACCATCCATTATTGAATGTAAATGGTGTAAGAAGTCACCCTTGTTTTTGTTCCTGAGCAACACTCCACCATTTTTTAAAAAGCATTCTTAAGTTTTAAGGAGATAATAGAATTCTGTGTGTTGAATGAGATTTAAAATTTTCGAAAGTATAGCTGTCTTAAACAAACAAAAATGCCTTTTTTTCAAAAAATGGGAAACAGGAAGGTAAAACAGGTCTTGTGGGGGGTGTGTGATACCAGTGGTGGTGGGGGAGGATATAAAGAAAGGGTGTAGGAGGGTGAATGTGATAGAAATATTATGTACTCATGTATGAAAATGGAAAGATGAGACCTGTTAAAACTATTTCAGGAATGGGGGAAGGGAAGGATAAAGAAGAATGATGGAGGGGGTGAATTCAACTATGATATATTATAAGTACTTTTGTAAATGTCACAATGTACCACAGTACAACAATAATATAATAAAAAAGAATGTATAATTTTATAGGATTTTGCATCTCTTTCCTCATTGATCTTAAACATGAAATCCAGCGATTATGCTTTCAATGATTTATTTATTTATTCATTTTGGTGGTACTGGGGATTGAACTCAGGGCCTCATGCTTGCTAGGCAGGTGCTCTACCACTTGAGCCGTTCCACCACTCTGCCATCCCAAAATGTTTTGCAAGACATTAAAGCTTGCCTATAAAGTAAAATGCCACCTCTGTGAATACTTCAGTAGAAAATGCAAAATTAAAGACTACCCATGATGAGGACTCTGCAACACATCATGTAAAGAAAGACAGATTGTGATATTTAAGACATTGTATTTGGAGAATTTGGACAGAATATTTGTTTGGGGCGTCAGTGTGATGTGTTCAGAAACAACGTTAGGTTTCTGTGCATGAGATTTGTGTTCAAGACTTAATGACAGTTCAAGTCACAAGTCATTAGTCTTTCTATGTTGTAGCAATAGCTGGGAGACTTGCTTTTTTTTTTTGTTTTATTTTTGGCTGAAAAATGGTTGCTCCATTAGTCTGCTTTATTTTGAGCTTAACGTAACTCATGGCATGGATTTAAAAATATTTTAAATAACTTCAGTTAACTAGTTTTTTGCAAATGAAAATCTTTTGTTAAGCTTTTCACTTCTAGGTTGATTTGCTTACAATTCTTCCCTTTGTCCCAAAGAAATTTTCTAATAGAACCAGAAGTTTGGTAGTACTTTGGTAAGGTATAGATTATATTCTGGAATAGGTGGAGGAGGATTGGAGTTCACTCTGAAAGTAAGTATAACCTTTTCATTTATTTTAAAGTCTCACCAGGGATGTTAGCAGGGAGTTGTAGATCACTTAACAATTTCAGTGTTTGTTTTCTTTGTATGTATTAGACCTCAAGAAAGGAGAACTGGATATGAACAGTTTCACCCAGGCCCATCCGCTGTGGATCATGATTCATTGGAATCTAAGCGACCACGTCTGGAGCAGGTTTCTGATTCCCATTTTCAGCGTGTCAGTGCTGCGGTTTTACCTTTAGTGCACACACTGCCAGAAGGGTTGAGGTCTTCTGCAGATGCTAAGAAGGTAAATATTTATTCTCTTGTCCTGTGGAGCTATAGGACTGTAATGTTTATTTAGTTGTATTCAGGCAAAGTGCCTAAAATAAAGTCCAGTAGCCAGTCTCTAAAGGTTAGTGCTATGGAAAAGTAAAAATTGTGTTAAACAAAACTATAAACCACAAACTTAGTGACTCCAGACTTTAAAATTAGTTCATTTGACTTTTTGGCATGAGAAGTGCAATAAAGAAAAATTGCTGTTGCTAGTTCTCAAGCATTTTGTACTGACTTGCTGCACATTAACGTGGTCAGAGGTACTCAACACTACCCATTTTGTCAAACTGAAATTTTCAATGAGTTCCATAAATTTTTTTTTTCCCCACAGTACCGGGGCTTGAACTCAAGGCCTATACCTTGAGCCACTCCACCAGTCCTTTTTTTTGTTTGTTAGGTATTTTCGAGATAGGGTCTCTTGAACTGTTTGCCTGGGCTGGCTTCAAACTGTGATCCTCTTGATCTCTGCCTCCTGAGTAGCTAGTATTATAGGCCTGACCCACTGGTACCCGGCAAGTTCCTTAAATTCAGTAGCAATTTATTAACTACCTATTCAAGTGAGAACACATTTTAAGGTAAAAAAATCTGTAATTTTTATGTAGAAAAAATTTTTATATAAATTTATATAGAATAAATTTCCTAATTAATGTATTACAGAAAATTTGGAAATTACAGAGGAAAAAGATATCTATAATTCTGTTACTTGTAGTTAGCAACCCCATTGTTTTGTTAAGTTTTAAATGAAAATTATATATATTTCCTATGTACAACGTGGTATTGTGATATCTTATTTTCCTCAGAAGTCCTTTTATATTAAGTAGTGTATGTTGTTACAGAATATGAGGCGTTTTAGCAATATACATGTTCTATTTTAACTGAAATCTCTGTACCAAAGTATTTTGGAACAACTATTCAAGTGTCTCCTATGTCCATTCTTGGTTCAGAATTACTGAGTTTTCACATTTAATCATTATTTCATATATTTTAGGTTTCTATAATCCTAGTAACAATCCTCATTGTAAGATTCTCATAGCCTAAAGAAAACTAGTACTTTTGTCTAAAATCATTGAGTACATCTTCAGCCCAGCCTGGAAATGGTGTGTGTTCGTGTGTGTGTGTGCTGGAGTGATAGATTTTGGTGGAGGGACTGTTACTCTGTTGCAGAGATCATGGCTGATCTGTGGGTGGAATGGGATGTCATTTTTTGTCTTAGGGTGAGGGGATGTAAAATGTATTTTTCTAAAGAGATGTTGTATGTGCTGTGGTGGGAGTAGATTTAGCTACCCTTTAAGAAGGTAGTCCAGAGATAGTAGCAATAAAACTTCCTAGGTTGTTTTTCTGAATTTCATGAGCCTCAGTTTTGGTCCTTGGAAAGCCTGAAAACTTTTTCTTTGACGTTTGGGATAAAATCCAGGGCTTCATACAAGCTGGGTGCTATATCATTGAGCCACATTCCCAGTACCTGAATTTTTTTTTTTTTTTTGATAGAAAGGAACTATTGGAACGATTGGTAACTTAGGTGGACATAAAAGGTTTACCTGGATTAACAGTATTTTCCAGCTTACTTGCTGAGACCTAAAAAGCCATTTCAAGAAAATGGCTGAGAGATATCAATCTTCTTGTTTTGATTGCGTCATTATTTCTCCTCAAATTCTCTGTGGTTGTCAGTATTGTTATTGATCAACCTATTGTTCTATGTAGCTTTTAGGGCCTACAAAATAGTGAACCATAAATCTAAACTATAAAAGTGGTATAAACATTTGCAGGAATTGCGTGAATATTTTCTTCTGTGTGCATATGAAAATTCTAATGAAAGATTATCATTAGAGAAACAGTACATGGCTCTGCTACGTTTGAAAATTTACTTTTCAATTTAGATAATCTTGACTCTAACATTGGCTGTTAGTGAGAAATAACTTGCTGTTCTTGATTTTTCTTCTTTCTAAAGGATCCAGCATTTGGAGGCAAACATGATGCTCCCTCCTCTCCAATTGCTGGGCAACCATGTGGAGATGATCAAAATGCTTCACCTTCAAAGCTTTCAAAGGAAGAGTTAATACAGAGTATGGATCGTGTAGATCGAGAAATTGCAAAAGTAGAACAGCAGATCCTTAAACTGAAAAAGAAACAAGTAGGTGTTATTTTCACTACTTAAAATATTCTAAGATGTATGTTTGTCTCCCTAAACAGGATATTGCTGAATTTTCTATATTCTAAAACTTTGACTTAAAAGGAATCATGCCTTATATATTCTGTGACTTGGTTCTTTTACCATTAGTTTCCTTACTTTCATCCATTCATTTCCCCTGCTGAACTGTCTGCATATATGATCTTTGAGTGTACCAAATTTGCTAAAATTGCAGTCCCATTATATCTTCCCACTGGCAGCATATTTGCCTGCCAGTTTTTGCATGTCTTACCTTGTTTTCTTTTCGTTTGAGTGTAAACTAGTTTAGTGTGGTTTCAACTTGCATTTCCTTCGTTAGGAGTATGGCTGAGCTTACTTTCATTTTTTTTTACTTTATTACTGTTCTTTGTGTGTGTTATTGATTCCTTTTGTCCTTATGCTCTCATTTTGTCTTTTTTTGTTTCTAAGATTTCCTAAAGTTTCTTGTCAGTTATGTGTATAATAGGTATTGCTCAATTTATGGCTTGTTATTTTATTTTTTTGAATAGTTTTTTTAATGAGGGAGATATATCTATCTATTTACAGATAGATAGATGTATCTCTCTATATATTTCTTTCTTTCTTTTTTTTTTTTTTTTAAGAGATGGGATCTGCTTATGTTGGACCTGAATTCCTATCTCAGCTCCTGAGTAGATGGGACTATAGGTACATGCCACCATGCTTGGCTCAAAGGACAACATTTTAAAATTTGAGATATAATTCACATACCATAATAATCAGCCTTTCGAAGTACACAGTTAAGTGCTTATGTTTATGAAGTGCAGCTGTCACCACTATCTATCCAGAAAATTTTTTTTCTACTTCAAAAAGAAGCCCATATCTCCACTTTCCCCTATTTCCATCCCATGGCAACCATTCATCTATTTCTGTCTCTATGATTTGCTTATTCTGGACATTTTAGATAAATAGATTCCTATAACCTTTTTGTGTTTGGGTTTATTTATTTGACATGTTTTCAAGATTCATCCATGTTATATCTTGCATTAGCATATTACTAACTTTCCCCTCTGGCTAAATATTTCCATTGCATGAGCAGATAATGTTTTATTTCTGCACTTATTAGTCGGTGGACATTTGGGTTGTTTTCACTTTTGATGATTATAAGAATGCTACTGTGACATTCGTGTACTAGTTTTTGTGTGGAATTAAAGAAAAAAAGTCTTGGATGATATATACCTAGGAGAGGAATTGCTGGCTCATTTGGTAAATTTGTTTAAATATTTGAGGAAGTGTCAAACTGTTTCCTCAAGTGGAGGTACAATTTTACATTTCTACCAGCAATTTATGAGGATTCTGCTTTTTCTTACCTCCTTGCCAACATTTGTTCTCTCTCTCTCTTTCTTTTTTTTTTTTTTTTCTTTTTTTGACACAGGGTCTCACTAGCCCAAGTTAATCTCAGAATTGCAGTCCTCCTGTCTTAGACTCCCAAATTCTGGGATTATAAACATGTACTGCCGTGCTTGGCTTTTTTTCTTTTTTCTTTTTTTTTTTAATGGCCATCCCAGTAGGCATGAAGCTGTTGTGGTTTTGATTTGCAATTTTTTTTTTTGGAAGCAGTACTGGTGTTTGGAATTAGGGCCTTGTGCTTGCTGGGCAAGACTCTACCACTTGAACCATTTTTGCTGGCCTCCAAGACTGTGATCTTCCTGCCTCCTGCATAGCTGGGATTATAGGTATGCACCACCCTGCCCAGCCGTTTTTATTGTTGAGTTGTAAGGGGTTTTATGTGTAATTTGGATATTAGATCCTCATCACATAATGACTTGGAGATATTTTCTCATTCTGTTTGTGCCTTTTTACTTCCCCGACAGTACCCTTTGATACACAAAAGTTTTTAATTTTGTTGAAGTCCGGTTTAGTTTTTTTATCATTTGTTCTTGTGGTGTCATATGTAAGAACCAACCATTGCCCAATTCAAGATCACAAAGATATATGGCTCTGTTTTCTTTATTTATCTTCTATTTATTTTTGGCACAAGGTTTCACTATGTAGTCAGGCTGGTCTGAGCTTGCTGTGTAGCCAAGGCTACCCTCCAACTGAAAACCCTTCTGTCTTAGCTTCATGTGTGCTGGGATTACAGCCATGCACCGTCATGCCTAGCTTTTAGTTTTATGGTTTTAGCATTTACAGTTTGGGTCTTTGATCCTAGTAGTGTTCTGTGGTGAATAGAATTTCCTTAGGTTTTATATGCATAAGGCAATTTACTGTGTTATCATCTTAAACATACAGTTTTGCTTCTTTCTTTATTTTTTTTCTCTTTTATTATTTTTACATTTACTTACATGTGTATACATTGTTTGGGCCACCTCCTCTCTTCCCCCTACCCCCCATAGTTTTGCTTCTTAAAGTATTTAATTCACTGGTAATTGGTTTTTGTGTTAGTCTCAGGAGTCAAAATTCAGGTTTTATTTTTTTGTATGGACTTAATTGAAAAAGTTCATTCTTTCTAATATACTGGCTTTATTAAATTCATGTTTCTATCTGTATATGGATTTATTTCTGGGCTCTGTAGTTCATATCTACTGTCTCTTTGTGGTATTGATGCAGAAATACAATTGATTCTCCTAATTACTAGAGAGGTATAATAATTCTTCTTATCCAATAAGGTACGCTCCACTTCTAAAAGCACATTTTAGGTATTTTTAGATTTTTACATTTCATGTAACTTTTTAGGATTACATTGTTTGGGTTTGGGTTTCAATAAATACTTCTGAATTTTTTTTTCTTTTCTTTTTTTTTTTTTTTGCAGTATTGGTGTTGGAACTCAGGGCCTATACTTTGAGCCACTCCACAGCCCTTTTCTGTGAAGGGGTTTATTTTGAGATAGTATCTCATGAAGTGTTTGGCCAGGCTGGCTTCCATGATCCTCCTGCTCTGCCTTCTGAGTAGCTAGGGTTACTTGTGTGAGCCCCCGGCGCCCAGCTCTTATTGGAATCGCAGAGATGATGTGGGTCAATTTGGGGAGAATAATATCTATAACATTGTGCCTTCCGACCCATGAACATGATCTATCTGCTCATTTTTAGGAGGTCTTTTTATATTTTATTTTTTGTCCATAATATTTTATATGCTTTGTGTTAGATTCAGCCTTAGGCTCTTAATTTTTTTATGCTTTTATCAATAATATTTTTAAAATACTTCCTTTGACTTTTTTTTATATGGGCTAGAAGCCTTCCTAAATTGTTTTAATGCTAATGTATTTGTAGGTTCTTTTGGGCATTCTGCATAGTTAATGGTCGTATGAGTAGTTTTAGAAAATAGCAGTTTTCTCTTCTCTTCTCTTCTCTTCATTGAGACACAAGGTCTTGCTGTGTAGCTTAGACTGGCCTTGAACACGCCATCCTCCCATCTCAGCTTTCCAAGTGTTAGGCAGTTTTGGTTCTTTCCAGCATTTATGTCTTTTATTTATTTTTCTGTTGCTTTACTGCTTTAAGAATGTAAATAAAATGTTGAAAGTGGTCCCTGTTAATATTTTTTATTTTACCACTGATTATATTGTAAGTGTTTTGTAGATATTCTTCACCAGGTTAAGAAATTCTCTTGTATTCCTAGTAGGCAAAGGTTTTAATTATGTAGGAATTTTGAATTTTATCAAGTGCTTTTTTAACATTTGTTTGCTGATCATACAGTTTGTCTCCCTTAGTCTCTTAGTGCAGTAACCACTGTACTTGTTTGAATTTTAAATCATCTGTGTATATAGATTTAACCTTAGTCATGATGCATTGTCTATTTTTTAAAAATAAATTCATGCCTTTGAAGAAAGAAATGTTATCATTTGCTAGTAAATGGATGGAATTGGAGAACATCATTCTGAGTGAGGTTAGCCTGGCCCAAAAGACCAAAAATCATATGTTCTCCCTCATATGTGGACATTAGATCAAGGGCAAACACAACAATGGGACTGGACTTTGAGCATATGATAAAGCGAGAGCGCCCAAGGGAGGGGTGAGGATAGGTAAGACACCTAAAAAATTAGCTAGCATTTGTCGCCCTTAATGCAGAGAAACTAAAGCAGATACCTTAAAAGCAACTGAGGCCAATAGGAAAAGGGGACCAGGAACTAGAGAAAAGGTTAGATCAAAAAGAATTAACCTAGAAGGTAACACCCACGCACAGGAAATCAATGTGAGTCAACTCCCTGTATAGCTATCCTTATCTCAACCAGCAAAAACCCTTGTTCCTTCCTATTATTGCTTATGCTCTCTCTACAACAAAATTAGAAATAAGGGCAAAATAGTTTCTGCTGGGTATTGAGGGGGTGGGGGGGAGAGGGAGGGGGCGGAGTGGGTGGTAAGGGAAGGGGTGGGGGCAGTGGGGAGAAATGACCCAAGCCTTGTATGCACATATGAATAATAAAAGAAAAAAAATAAAAAAAAATAAATTCATGGCTTTAATTTAACAACAAGTTTATTTTATTTTTATTAGTGAAAGGAGATCATCTTTTTCCCCTCTTATATTAGTAACATCATGCTAATGTTTCTCTCTCTCTGGTACTGACTGACCATTTCTAAATTCTAAATAGTTTTTAAGATTGTAATTATTTGTTCCTTGAGTGATTGGCAGAATTTAAGCACTGGTAAAATCATGTGGGTATAATGGGAATCATTTTATTTTTTGGCATATGTGTATATGTATGAAGATTTATGACTTTTTTTGTTTACTTTTTGCAGTCCTGGGGTTTGAACTCAGGGCCTTGTGCTTGAAAGGCAGGTGCTCTGCCACTATAGTCACACCTTCAGTGCTTTTTACTGTAGGTACTTTTCAGATAGGGTTACATTTATAATAGGAATGTATTACTGTGCTCAGCTTTTGTTATCGTTAAGATGGGGGTCTTGCTAACTTTTTGTCTGGACTGACCTGAAATCCTCTTGGTCTCTACTTCCCAACTAGATAGGATTACAGGTATGAGCTTCTGTGCTCCACCTCAAGTATTTCTTTTTTTTTTTTTTTTCTTTAAGTTCAGTTCTATTTCTTCTGGAAGTAAGTTTTCTCCATCTTTATTTTAGAGAATATAATTGTATTCTCTATATAAGAGATTTCTATCTTTTATTTCCTTTCTTTGGTTTTATTCTACTCTTTTATAACATATAAACTTGGTTGTTTAACACATTGATTTTTAGCTTCGACCCCTTTTTCCTCTTTTTATATACTCTTTTTAGGTGCATTTCAGAAGTTTTCATTTGTAAAACTTTTCTGCTGTCCAGTATGATTTCTTTTTGGATGTGTTTTTTAAATTTTAGATGTATGTTTTGTTTTGAGTTGTTTTTGGTTGTTTGATTTCTAAATTCTTGCCAGAGAATGTGATCTCTTCCTCCCTCCCTCCCTCTTCTCTCTCCTCCTTCCTTGAGTTTGAACTCAGGTCCTCAGGTTTGCTAGGTAAGTGTTTAATACAGGTGTTTATTACGATTTTTAAAAATTTTGGCTCTTAAGTTTTGGCCCATTATGGTGCTCAGTTTCCATAAACATTCTGGTTGTGCTTCAAAATAATTTGTATTTTTTTACTTTTTAAATCTTTATATCACTGCTCATTTTTTTCTGCAACTTATTAGTTACCATTGTGATTTTGGATTTATCTATTTTTCCTAAGAGTTAATGGTTTTTATCCTGTGTATTTTCAGGTTTTATTTTTAGGTGTAAACAAATAAAAAATTTTTTTTGGCAGTATCAGGATTTGAACTCAGAGTCTTAAGTTTGCTGGGCAGGCACTCCACACTTGAGCCACTCTGTCATTCTAAAATTCTATTACTAGTTAGTTAAGCATTTTTTTTCTTTTAGAGTTATTGACCTTCTATCTCTAGTAATGATTTTTACTGTAAGTCTGTTTCTCTTTCTTTTTTCCCACCTCTTATGCCATCACTGTTGTGTGTTCTAATTATTTTAGAGCACTGTAGACATTGTAATTTCACATGTGTACTCAGTGATTGTTTAAGTTGACCCATGTATTTGTCATTAATTTGCTCATCATTTCTTCTTCCAACTCAGATATTTCATCTGGGGAGATACTTTTCTGCTGGAAGAACATCCTTTAGCATTTCCTTTGGCAAACTCAGTATTTGTTTTGTTTTTATGACTTAAATACTCTGTTACTTAAGCCTGATGATTGAAAGACAATTTTATTTGGTATGTAGCTATTTGCTCTTACTGCACTGTGTCTGGCTTTTATTTTGAAGACATGAGCCCTTAGTCTAATTTCTGTTTTGTGGATAATCTTAATTTTCTTTCTGGCTGCTTTGAGTATTTTCTTTTTCTTTAGTTTCTATTATTTTGACTGATAGACTTAGGTATTTGTATTTTTAAATGTATTCAGTATGAGATTTATTGAATTTCCTAAATATGTTAGCACTTTTTAAATCAGTTGTGGAAAATGCTAAGCTATTATTACATTTTTTGAGGTGCTGGTCATAGACCCAGGTCCTCATGCATGTTAGTCAAGCATCCTACCACTTGGGTGAGCTACATTCCAAACCCCATTATCTTTTTTTTTAACAAAAAACTTTCAATACATCTCTTTTCAATTATAATTTACTGTCAAATCTATCTTCAGTTTCTTTTTTTCTTTTTTGGTGGTACTGAAGTTTGAACTCAGGAGTTCATCCATTTGAGCCACTCTGCCAGCCCTTTTTAGTGTTAGTATTTCTGAGATAGGGTCTTGAGAACTGGCTTCAACTGAGATCCTCTTGGTCTCTGCCTCCTGAGTAGCTAGGATTATAGCCGTGAGCTAGCTAAATCTATCTTCAGTTTTAATAGCTGTGTTTTTATTTCTGTAATTTCTACTTGGCTCATTTTCAAATCTGCTCCCTCACTAAATTTTAATAATGTCTGGCAATTTTAAGTTTAAGTTTTCATGGGTATTATTCCACTGAGTCTTTCTTAAGAAATATACTGCATTGTGTGTGACACATAGCAAGTACTTAATAACCTGTAACACACTAAAATATTAGAAATAATAAAATACATTATGTGTCCATTATGAGATGTAATATATAATAATTAGAAATAATGAAATACATTTTATGGCCATGATGAGATGGATTGAAGCCAAATTTTATTGAGGAATAGATGTGAAATATAGCTAGAGTAAATAAAGAAACATACCATAGCGATAGAAGCTGATTAAGAGTGCTTTGTGCTCATTTTATGTTAAACTATATGTTCTATCCAATTTTAATAAAAATTCCAATTAAGTGTAACTGTTGGATTTGACAGAATTAATGTAAAGTTAACATAAAAGAACAAATAGTTGAGGAAAGTATTTATTACTGTTTTTAACCTTTCAGTTATAATGATGTTATTCCAGGATTATTTAGGTACTAAAAACAAAGTGTGATTTCTTGATCATCTGTTCTTCAATGTGAATAAACTAAAAGAAAGAGCGTCATTGAAGAACTCATTCCCGTAATAATGATACCAGGATTTCAAAATCTTTCTTTTGCTTTAAGACAACAGGTTTGCATGGGTACTTTGTAAATCTAAAGTGAAAATATTCCTACAAGCTTCTCTTTCTCTCTCTCTCTCTCTTTCTCTCTGTCTCTCTGTCTCTCTCTCTCTCTCTCTCTCTCTCTCTCTCTCTCTCTCTCTCTCTCTCGACAGACTTTTGTCCTTTCATTTGGGCATGGTCTAATTTACAGCACTGGGAGCTTTATATCCATCTAAGTAGTACAGATAATTTTTTCCTCTAGGCCTTATAACCTTAACTTCACTTTACCTGATGTCCTCTTTATCATCTTAGGCAAGAGACTTACTCTTTATTTATTCATGTGAGTATTTGTTGAACATTTACTAGATTTTAGGTACTGGTTTAAGTGCTAGGGGAAAAAAAGTGGCAAGGCAGACAAGTCCCTGCTTACAAAATAGTGGGTAATATATGCTGAGATTTATAGGTGCATTGTGCTTTTGTGGGTTATTTAATCTTTTCAAAAGCTATATGATTGGTGAAATTGTTGTTCCTGCTTTGTATATGAATGGTCTAGATACTTGCTTAAGATGGAGGCAAGGTCCCAGAAATGGTTCTGGAATCACATCACCCGTAACGTGTGACCCTGAGGCTCAAACCCAGACAGAATAATACACATAGCCTTCTGCTTTACTCTTGTCCACACCAGCAGTCCACTGCCTCTTGTCTGGGGCTATAGGAGATAGAAAAGTTGGATTTGGTAGTTCTGTGGTGCTGTGCTGAGTTAAGTATTAACCCTCTTTTGTATCATATTGTTTTCCCACAAGACCTTAAAATGTACTGTGTATCTGTAACCTATAAAAGTGTTTTTCCAATGCCAATCAAAGATCATTGTGCTAGAGGCACATAGGTACCTTCATTAAGCTAGTTGTGCTTTAAATTTATCAGGATTAAAATATTAAAAGACGTTTACCCTTAGTTTTATATCTGTTTAATATGTTATATGTATATGTGTGGTTTATATCTTAATTTTTTGTCTATCTTAGGTTGATTTGTATTCTTTAGTTACTAGTTTAAATGGATGTAATTGTTTTTCATTGAGCCCTTGGGTCCACAAACCCTCTTAGATTAAGTGGTTATCCTACAGATTCTGCAAGCTGTGTTTGGTAGCATACGTTATCTTTGGCAATTAATTACTGGTGGGGGTGCATAGATGTCTGATTCTTCCTTTCTGGGTTTCTTAGCAACAGCTCGAGGAAGAAGCAGCTAAACCTCCTGAGCCCGAGAAGCCTGTATCCCCTCCTCCAGTGGAGCAGAAACACCGCAGTATTGTCCAAATTATTTATGATGAGAATCGGGTAAGCTTACGCTTTCTGTGACAGCACAGGCCATTCAATCCACTTGACTGCCTTTTCTAAGTACTAATAATTTGCTTGTAATGGTAATTATATTACAGCATGATTTCTATTTTATATGTTTCATAAATATTATTTAATGAATAGAACTTATCAGCTGAATCTCTTTCCTATTATATAAATACTGACAAGTATGTTTGGTGTTACATACTACAAAGCAGCCATTTTGTTTCTTCAGGGGCATTTGATACCAAAGCCTGATAAACTTTCAGTATGTGAAAATAACCATTGCTGGGCGCCAGTGGCTCATGCCTGTGATCCTAGCTACTCAGGAGGCAGAGATTAGAAGGATCGCGGTTCAAAGCCAACCAGGGCAAACAGTTCATGAGACCCTTTCTTGAAAAACCCATCACAAAAAATAGGGCTGATGGAGTAACTCAGGGTGTAGGCCCTGAGTTCAAACCCCCACATTGAAAAAAAAAAAGAACTTCATTATCAGCTTCAGAATTGATAACTGGCTGTGGTTGAACTTTACTTATAAAGTTCAAGGTAAACTTTGACCATTAGGTAAACTTTGCTTTTTGGTTATTTTTTTTTTTTTTTTTGGCTTTGGGCAATTCTGGGGTTTGAGTTCTGACCTGTGCCTACTAGACAGAAGTCATGAAAGAAAACTTTGAATTAGTATGAGCCATGCTTTGATTCCTCTGGGTCTCTCTTTTTGCCCAGATTAGCTAGGCCCACCAACCTCCTTTTGGTTAAGATGGGGAATCTTGTGAAATTTTTGCCCAGCCTGGCCTCCACCCACCATCTCTACCTCCTGAGTAGTGAGGATTACAGGCATGAACCACCCCACCCAGCTTGGATTTTTATTTTATTTCTTTTATTAAAATAGTTTCTTCTATCATACTCTTAATTCTATCATACTCTTAATTTAAAATATTTGTGGATTTAGGAAAACCAGGCCTCAATTCTATGAATTATTTTTGTAATGACAAAGCTAGTTTTTATCTAGAACCTGGCTAAGGAATTAGCAGTTGAAGGAAAATAATTTCACCTCAATGTAAAGAAAATGTTCTATCCACGCTGCTTAACAATGGGCTTCTAGAAGTTCTCAATCTAAAACATAATAACAGACTTTAAATATTACTGAGAAAACAGGCTTGCTTGGTAAAGGTAATCATAAGGTATAGTTTGGAATTGTTGTTTCAGTTTAGTTGCTTTGTAGTGAGTTGATTCATCAATCTATTTTGCACAGGCAGCCCAACCTAGTTGCCAGATCTGAAAGGATATTGGTTTTAAGAAAAGAAGTTGTTGACTTGGGGAACAGCTTAGTGGTAGAACACCTGCCTACCATGATCAAGGGCATAGGTAGATAGACAGAAAGGTAAGTAGGAAGGAAGGAAGGAGAAAGCAACTTTGAATTAGTAATTAAACAAACATTTATAGGAATAATTTTGGACTGAAATATATGTGTATGTATATATAGGTATATTTACATATAGTAAGTATCATGGACAGGTAAAAGTATGGGCAATTAATACTATTTTTTTGTGTGGGCTCAAAAATGGTCCAGTTTATTGAATGGCCAGAACAATCTCCTGCAGGTAAATTCAATAAAGGTGGAGGTCATACAGGACCTGAAAGGTGACTATGCTGTGCTTAGAGGGAAGATGCTAGCTCAGGGTAGACAGTTGCCTTCTTGTTTGAGAGAAGATAGAAGTAAGGGGTTTTATGTGAAGTTTAATTTTTAGGAAATACTCTGTAGAACTACAAAACATTTTCATTGGCTGATTGACTTAATGACTAATTTTGTGATCTCTGGGATAAAGTAATAGGGATTAGAGCTGATAACAATGGAAATATGTATGTTTTTTTAAAAAGTTTTATAAAATGTTGACTTTTGTGTACCTTGAGATAATTTTCAAATAAATTAGATTCAGTGATAATTAGTGATTGAATTCCCCCTAACTGATTGATTTGTTTATTCCTTGAAGAAAAGAAAACCAAATTTGAAAACTTAATATAAGACTTAACCCTCTTAACAGTGAAAAATTCTTTGTTTTGTTTTTTTGAGCTATAGAAGTCATTGTTTTCTTTCTTTCATATGCTTTTTTGTTGGTTACTAGGGAACTCAGGACCTTGGGCTTGCAAGGCAGATGTTCTACCACATGAGCCACACCTTCAATGCCATATACTTTCTTAAATGTACCCTGCTATTGCTACTAGTCATTTGTTGCAGTTCTACAATCATAGGGCTCTGGAAGTTAGAGGAGGAAAGCTCAACTGGGCCTGCCATATAGCTCCCTCTCCAGTGCCTGTCTACCTCTTATTAATGATTTACCTTATCTAGTAATGATTAACCATATCACAGGCAGGAAGAGAGGGAAAAAGACAAAAGTACATCTCTTCCTTTTTCCTTATGTAGCAAGGAATTAAGCCCATTGTGGCTGAAGCATTAGCAAAAAACACTATCGTCTGTAAGACATTTTTCTTTTATTTAGAAAGTTAGTGGGAGGAAGAAAATTGCCCAAAAGAAACTGCTAATTTTAAAGTTGGCTTCCTGAGAGAAAAGTTGACTTGTTGCGTATTTAAACTTTAGACTAAGTTTGTCGAGTCTCTTAAACAGACTATTCTGGATTATTTTTAACAGTTTGATTGCTATTTCCAAAAATATTTGCAGGTACTCTAATTTCAGAATAATAATACATTAAGAGAATGGTTGTTAGAATGTAGTAGAGAAGTTTTCAGAAATAATCTTGTTTGTATTTTGACTGATGAATTTGCAAGAGAATGGCATCACAGAAAAGGAAGGGGATGATGGAGAGTATGTCTCATACCAACATCTTCCAATCTCACAGGCCATTGTCCTTGTAATTTCCTGTGTCTGTCTCTGTCCCTTCTTGTATATTTAGTCAGTTATTGAAGAATATCAATCCTACTTCATAAATACCGGTTTGGGGCTGGTAGAGTGGCTCGAGTGGTAGAGTGCCTGCCTAGCAAGATTACTAAATATTGGTCTGTTCAATTGCTTCTCTCCATCCCTCTTAACCATTAGATTAATGTGAATTTTCATCTCACATAATTTGAAGTCTCCTTCCTTTAGTCTTTTTTCTTTCTAATGCATTCTTCATACTCGCATCCCACACTTCTTTAAACAAAACCTTTGATGATTTCTCACTTTCTGCAGAACAGCCCAAACTCTTTATTGGTGCTTACATGTTTGTCTACCTGTCTGGCCCTTGCCCTAAAACTCCTTTCATAGTGCTAGCCTACTAGAACAGGTTTTGAATGTTCTGTTGAAGTTGTGGGTGCCTTTGCCTTGATGTTGTTCCCCATGCCCTCAGGTGGTCCCATGTTTTTTCTTAACTGTCTGTGGAGCACACCCATACTTCCCCAACTCTATGAAGGCTTTCAAGACCTCTCACTCTACTATGCTGGGAATGGTTATATTTTTCATCATCTTCTTAGTATCTACCAAGTCCCTGGCACATAGAACATACTCAGCATAATTTCCAAGAATTAATTACTTCCATTTCATCACTTAGAATAAAAATTATAATATGGAAATTTGGTTTTGTTTTTGTGGTGGGAGGATTGAACCCAGGGCTCTGTGAGTGCTATATGAGCATCCTCCCAACTAAGCTATAGCCCGTAGCCCAATGTGAAGGCTTTTTAAAAATACATTTTTATTTATATGATACACAGGGGGTTTTGTTGTGACAGTTCTATATGCACATAAGTACCTAGTTTGGTTCATCCCCTCCATTCTTCTCCCTTTCCCCCCACTTCTCCACTCCTTCTCCCTTCTCCCTTTTCCCCCTTCCCTCTTCTTTCTTCCTTCCTTTTTCTTTTTTTTTTCCGGTGGGAGTGGGGTTTGAACTTGGCTTCACACTTGCAAAGCAGCTGCTCTATCACTTTAGCCACACCTCCAGTCCATTTTGCTTTCTTTATTTTTGGAGATAAGGTCTTGTGAACTATTTGCCCAGACTGGCTTTGAACATTGATCCTCCTGATCTCAGCCTCCCAAGTAGCTAGGATTACAGGTGTAAGCCACCGACATGCAACACTGTTCTCCTTCTTTAAGTGACTTTAACAGATTTTAGTGTTCCATATTCATACATGTATAGAAAGTACCTCAACCATATTCACCCTCCTTTTTACTCTCTAAGGAAGATTTCTCTTAGAGAACACGCTTGTCTGTATTATTTTATTTTTGAAAATGGTGTGTTAAGCATATAACTTAGTATTTACTTACTACTGAACACTGTAAAACTGCTGTTTCCTTTGTTGTTCAGCTATTCCTAAGGTTTCCTTCTAACTAGAAAATAAGCTCATTATATGCTTTGTTTACCTCAGTGAGATTGACTGCTTTATGGTACTTTATGTTTTTAAATTTTTATTGACGATAAGTATGAGTTAAATGTTTAGGGGTTTTATTTTTAATAGTGAATTTTCATTTCTTCTAGATCTTTTTCTCTTTTTTTGGTGGTAGTATGATTTGAACTCATGTCCTTCTGCTTGCAATGCAAACACTCTGACACTTGAGTGACACCAGCCCTCCTTTCTAGATTCTTAATATGTTTGCTAGAGAACTTTCCAGTTCTTTAGGTACTACTTTCACTACAGATGTTAATCTTTGAGTGAATTTGGTGAGGAAAACCATGAAAATTAAGAATGTTTCAGTCTATCATATGAAAGGGAATATTGAGAATAAAGATAAGTTCAACTGTAGATTAGCCTTAGATAAGTATTTTTAAATGTAAGTTTGCTCTTAGGTAATTTCATTTTTAATTTTACTGTGTAACATAATCTTTATCCCTAGAAAAAAGCAGAAGAAGCTCATAAAATATTTGAAGGTCTTGGTCCAAAAGTTGAACTGGTAAGTAAGAAATTTCTTTTTTATTTCCAGTGGGTTGGTTTTTTTTTTTTTACAGTAGTTTTTCTTGGGAATAAAATAGGATACGATCCATTTATTTTTGGATGAAAAGGATGGAGCTGGCCAGAAAATTTGTGATGAAGTTTAAAATAATCATGAGCAAATTTGGTTACCTTTGCAGAAGCATCATCCTGAGCAGTCATGTAATCACTCGAGGTAGAAGAAGAAAGAGTTAGAAAAGAAATGGGAAGCTCTTTGAATCATTCTGTTAGGATAGTGATAATGTGTAACCTTTGAAATTAAAAATCTGTGGATAGGGCATATATATTATAGGACACAGTAGATTTGCATGTTTTTTATAGAAGTATATTTTTGGGTGATGGGGTTATTCAGGAAACCCAGAAGTATGAAGGTTTTGGTGGAGCATGTTATGGTGTATACCTGCTGCTACTTTATTTAGGCTTACATTAAAATATTGTTTCTTAGACATATGTGCAACATTTTACACAAATATTTTATTTATTTTATAGCCACTCTATAACCAGCCATCAGATACCAAGGTGTACCATGAGAACATCAAGACGTAAGTATTTGTTATCCTTGGAGTTCTTCAGTTAAAGACCATATATTCTATAAATAGATCATTTTTATGTTATCTGCTGACATTATAACATAGTGTAGGTGTGTTTTAGATTTGTGTAATTTGTCGTTTTACTATATGTTATCTTCCTCTGGCTTCTTGGGGGTTGGGGTAACAGCTTTGAGTTTCCGAGGCCAAAAAATGAAGTAAATTATTGCATAAAACTAGCTGGTTTTATAATCTGCTAGTTAAAAAGAAAGGTGGATACTTAACATTGAAATGGCTTACCTTGAGGCTTGAATTTTTTGCCTCCTGTTTTGTCTTTTTTTCAGTGGAGTACCTGCAAGGCGCATGATGAAGTAAGATAATGAAGCTTTTTCATTTAAGACTAGTGATGACACCGTCCCCCACCAAGCCACATCTGCCATTGCAAAGTAGAAGTGCCACGGATCATTTTATCATTATTCAAAATCCTATTCTAGGGAAATCCCTTCCATGACTCTTGCTAATGACGGTATTTGTAGACCCTTCTGCCATTTAATGTCCTGGTGCCTTGGAAGGCTCAGTCACCTCATGTGGGTGAGGAGGCTGCTCCAGAATGTAGTTTGCTTAGCCTTGCTCATCCTAGTACCAGGCCTTTATGGATGCAGATCTTGGAATAAGAAAATAAGTGAAAAGGAAACCTAATTTCTTGATCTGATTGAAGTAAGACAGGCAAGCTAGATAGGTATCTTTTTTTTTTTTTTTAATTATCATACTTTTAAGAGCATTTTAGGTGAATTATTCTTAGTTGGTTTAAAAAAATGTGATATTTCTATTTTATATGCTTTATTAAGTATAACCAGAACATTATAATTATTTACTAGTACAGTTACTAATGAGCACATTGCTATTTATATATATATATATTTATATTTTTTCTTCAAATTTCTGAATGTGTGCAATAGTTGACTACTTTGCATAATTGGTGGCAAATATAATTTGCATGGTAGTATGCATGAAATCATTAAAATTCGGATAATTTTAATTTTTAAGTAAGTGGTTCATAATAAATGTAATATATTTAAGAATTTTTCTTTGAGATGGTGCTGTGGTCTCAAGAACCCTTAGTAGTAGATTAGGCAAAACTCATAACATCTTGTTTTAGAATTGTTTTGCTGTTTTAAACAATTTAAAGATGTAGACCAGCAGATAAAATTAAGTTGGCAACTTTTAATGACTATTTTCCTCACAAAGCTTCAGTTATGTTTGTGTTTTGTCTTTCCCTCTTTATAAGCTGGAGAGTAGCTCTGTCTTTGATTTACTTTATGTTCTCTACATTGGCTTCTTAATGCTTGTCACACTTTTTGAGATGGGTTAGTGACTGGCTGACTTCATTTAAATTCTTAGGAAACATTTAAAACTTTTTATTGATTGTCATTTGCTTTTGAGTAGTACATTATTAGAAAAATTGAATATATGGTAATGTTCTTACGGTACGTTGCCTTTTGAAATATATACTCAGCTGCATGCATCTATATGAGTCGTTCATAGCTATATTCTTTCGTCACCGTCATTTGCTTTGTATGAAATAGCATAATAATTCTTTCATCTCTTGGCTACTTTTTCATATAGCCAGCTCCTGATTGTCCATGGTTATTTGAGTGGAGCCAGTGTCACTGTTAGTCCCGAGTGACAGATAATCCAAAAAATTACTTCTACTTGCCTTGGCTTTATATTTATATTTGAATAATCAGCTTGAAATCCTTTCTGGAAGTAGGTGGGGTATAAATATTTATATTTGAACCTGCATGTCATTGTTTTTGAAGGTCGCAATGCTTCTAATTTAAAAAATGAAATTGTTGCAGTAAGATACTGGAGAAATCTTCCTGTCTTGTCACATTGCCCTCTATTACATCTTAGAGTGGATTGTGTCATTTCTGTGATGGAAAAAAAAAATCTGTTTAAAGCAGAAGTCACCTCTCTAAATACATTGGTGTACGTTTTCCTGGTAGGAGGGAGGTCAGCCCCTTACCTGAAGTAGGGAGGTACCTGTAAACACTTTTCTTCTCTTGTCCCTCCCTTCCTCTGTGTGTATGCAAAGATGTTTGTATCATTAGAGTTCTTAAGAAGAATAGGTAGCTGTGTCATTATAATTTGAAAATAATATATGCCTTATAATTTGATGTATTAATTAAAAATTGCTGTATCATCTTGCTGTAGAATGGGAGGAATTTTAGTCAGTTCTAATTATTGCAAAAATTATAAGGTCTTATTTTGCAGGGTGAAAATTAGGATTAACTTTGATTGCATCCTAAGTTCTTAAATGATCTTTACATGTATGCCAGTGTTTCTGGGAGAAAAAAAAAAAGTAAATGCATCACTAAATTGTGCTTTTTCTTAATATCATGCAACCATATTTTTCTCTTCTAGAAACCAGGTGATGAGGAAAAAACTCATTTTATTTTTTAAAAGAAGAAATCATGCAAGAAAACAAAGGGTGAGGTCCTATCCTTGTTAACTGAAATTTGTACAGCTTTCCCTTTCATGCTCATTTAGGCATTCACTTTCCCATTTACTAGTGGTCCTTGATTATATTGAGAACAAATGCTGATTTAGAAAACCTAAGTATACATGTGACTTAAATATAAGTGTAATTCTAGTAAATTTTCAATATCACATTTAATGTCATTACCAAATTAATTTCATTTGTCAATGTATGGCAGTTTCATCTAGCCAAATAAAGAAAATGGTGAGTAGTTACAAAGAATATGAAGGTAAATAGGGTGATGTACAGTCAGTCTCTTAAGCCTCCAATTTAGGTAAGTTACAGTCATGCCAATTAGATATTACTGTTCTTATGAGAAACTGGGTTGGCTAAGGTTCAGCCTTTTCAAATTTAAATAGCTTTCCATATTTAAGTGTATGACTTGCTGTCCAAACATTTTGTGGTTATAATCATAAATGTTAAGTTACAGAAAATACAATGCCTGTATTCTTATTTTCATAATATGTATGTTCATACTAATTTTGCAGTTAAACTATTGATATATTTAAATTCAGGTGTTTAATAAACAAATGGAACTTTTTAAATCCACTTTGGACGTGTACTTTGCACCTTAAAATGAGCTGGCAGTTTAATGAGTTGTAAAGCTCAAGAGGTAGCAACTTTTATTTGATATAAAATTTCTGAAGTTTTAATTTGCAGGATAAATTTAATTTGTAGTCCTTTAGATACTACCTTAAATTATTGGTTTTGAATTTTTTGTTTTGCCAAGAACATATAGATATTAAATAAGAAGTTAGCTGTTTTTTTGTTTTTTCTTCCTCTCTGGTGTTGCATAGACAGTTTAACACTTCGCACAATAATTTTAAAGTTTTTAAGTTCACTGATTTGCCTAACAAATATTTATCAGCTGTGTACTCTGTCCTGTTTTATTCTAGGAAGGTGATTAAGATAGCCATATAGTCAACCCTTACAGAACAGACAGGTCATCTGGCAGGTGTACAGTATTGTGATTACGCTATGGTCACACACATACAGATAACTAGGAGATCATGTTAGAGGAGACACCCCTGTGGATATGAATCAGGAAGGGTCATTACATGGGAAAACCAATACTCTGCAAAATTTATGTATAATCCGAGGGAAGAGACTAAAGTGAAATAGGACCTAGAGTGAACAGGCTCAGAGCTGGCTGGAGTTATAGTAGGGTTGAGTTACTTCTGAGGGAAGCTGGTACTTAATTTTACACTACCTTGCGGGTGACCTAGGAGATTTTGGTTCAAACCCTGAGGACACCTTTATAATTTTTAATCTGAGGAGGTATAGTGTTCAAGTTTATATTTTTAAGAATTCACATCTGGCTATAACAATAAGAATACATGTGAAGGCCTATTATGTGTGAGGCCCTGGATTCCATCCCCTGCGCTTTAACAAAAAAAACCCAAGGTAGACATTTAGGATGTGATTGTTTTCATCTGGGTGAGTAACAGTGTTGGTCTGGATTGAGATAGCAGTAGAGATGGAGAAAAGGTGGAAGACACAAAAGGAATACAGGACTTGAAAAGAAAAGAACGACTAGGAAGTAGGGGTGTGCTGCGGTGTGAGGAAGACATATTTTCTTCTCTAGTGCCTCATTGTTAAGATGACCAATGTTAGCAGTTTTCCTCAGTCTCTCCTCACTTACTCTTCCTGATCCCTGTGTTGTCAGATGTGTGTATAGTTCTGTGCCCATAATGGAGGGTTCTGTCTTCTGTATTTAGAAAATGGAATAATTTACTTACTTACCCTTAAGCATTAATTCTTGATTTTATGTATTCCACTGGATTTCTTTTTATGATAAAGTATGACCAATTTCTGCCTTTACCACCCTGTCAAAAATGTTTATTATGTAATTATTTATAATAAATAATTTTTCTTTATTTATAATAGTGTTTATTTAGAATAGCAAAAAAGTGCAAGCAATTAGACAGAACTGCCAATAACAGGAGGATGGTTAAATGTGCAGGTTTTCTCTGATAGATTGCATAGATAACAAAATCTATCTGGGTAACTGGTCAGATTATAAACTTTTTACATATTTCTAATTTTCTTTTTTCTTTTTTGACAATGAGACATGTTATAAGAAAATAAAAAGTTAGTTTATCAATTTGTGTAGTCTAAATGTTTATTAAAAATTCCAGATACAGTATGCTCTATATGTTGTGTTAACCTTAGGAAATAGCTCCCTTTCTCTCCATCAGATCAAGGGCAGCTTTTAATTCTAAATGATCACATAGACCAAGCAAACTTCGACTTAAGAAATAGAATTTAAAGTATTAGGTTTATCAGACTCACATCTTAATTTAATTACAATTAATTTGCTGTGGGTATTTAATAGGAACAAAAAATCTGTCAACGTTATGATCAGCTCATGGAGGCATGGGAAAAAAAAGTGGACAGAATAGAAAATAATCCCCGGAGGAAAGCTAAAGAAAGCAAAACAAGGGAGTACTATGAAAAACAGTTTCCAGAAATTCGAAAACAAAGAGAACAGCAAGAAAGATTTCAGAGGTAAGTAGTTTGAATTTTTTTTTTTCCCTTGTGTGCTGGAGATTGAGCCCAGGGTCTCCTGCATTCTAGGCAAGCCCTGTATCACCACTGGGGTATACCCCCAGACTCATTTGACGTTTAGTAGTTGTGATTTTTTTCTTCATATCAGTTTTGCTGTTTACAGTATTGTTTGTTTTCTGAAGCTGATTAGTAGGAAAGTTTATAAAAAACTTTTATGTTCAATTTGAACTTCTTTACCACCCAGTAAAGAATTATGTCTTAGTGAATATAACATTAATTTTTGATATTTGACCATTGTGTTGAATCTAAATGTAAGTGAACATTTTGAAATGAATTTGTTTCTTGAAAATATCAGTTTCTTTGGAAATGGCAGTTAATAAACAGCCCTGAATGTCCCTTTGTAATTACTAATAAAATCAAGCAGCATTAAGTTGACCACTAATTAAGAAATTCTTTGGTTTTAGTTTTTGGGTTCTTACTTTTAGAGAACAGGTATTTTAGAAAGGTCTTAAAGCTTTGGTTGTCTTCTTTGTTTCATTAAGAGTCATTTATGACCTTTTACTTTCAACTAAGTTCTTGTGAGGAATGTTAGTTGTGTTTTTTTCCCTAGTTTTAAGAATGTTTGTTGTAGTTTTCTAAGTTTGCTAGCCCCCTCTCTGGAATGCAGGGAAGACTGTGACTTGAAATGAATATGGCATCAGTAACTGATTTTCCACAAGTTTCCTATCACTAGTTCCAGCATTTAAACTTGAATTTGTAACTTTTAAATCTCAATCTTGTTATATTAGAAACAATTTAAATATTAAGTGACTCAAGCATATTACTTGAAAATAGTTACTCAGTACTATTTTCTCAGTAGTCTCTTTCAGTTAGTTAAAAAAAAAAAACCACCCAAATCTCATTCAAAAAAAGTAATATATACTATTTTTAATAAATCTTCCTTATAAAAGGTCTTTAAATACATTTATAATTTCTCCTTCATATTTAGAGTTGGGCAGAGGGGAGCTGGTCTTTCAGCCACCATTGCTA